GAAGCGATGGCCTCCAACCTAACTGCGATGGCCTCCAACCGGTGGCCTCCAACCTAACAGCAAACCTCACAGCGATGGCCTCTAACCTAACAGCGATGGCCATGTCCATGTCGGGCGGCTTCGATGTCGCTTGTCTGGGGCTCCTGCAAGTGAGTCCACGTGCTCAGGCCATAAGCGGCACTGTCCTCACAGATCCCGCGATGGAACGAAAGGAGACCGTTGGGTGTCTTGCAAAACCAAACATCATCTCCCACAATCGTAGGATGCGGCGGGCTGCCAAACCCTTGTATCTTATCAGATATTGATATTACCTTATAACCATTATTATTTCAAATATTAACCTTCAGTTCACACCACCAAAAATTACGTTTAATAGTCTGAATCCTGAAAAAACAACACCTAAAAACCATAGCTTATAGGATTTTACACTATAACTTCTAAATCCAGGTCAACCGAACTCAAGGCTTCCTAGAAGGCGAGTGCCACAGTGACACCACGTTTACATGGATCGAATAGCATCCTCACAGTGACACCGTGTGCCAAGTTCACCTTGGGACCCCTTGGGAAGCTTTTGTTTGTTCCTACGTTGTCCTGGATTCTTCCTGGAAATCCGGCGTTCGACCGCTCGGATTGGGAGCCTAAAACTGCTCACTATCTGGTGCTCACTGAGTCCCGTTGTTTTGGCCGGAAAGCCTAGGGATGGGCGAAAAAAGCGTTCAACAAAATCCACCTCCAAACCCAGTGGCACGGTCGCAGCCAAGGGTTCACATTCACCAATACCCCGAACCCTCGGCCGATGTGTCGTATACGGATTTAAGGACTTCATGAGACTTCGGGACTTCATGGCCTTCCAGCCTTGAGCATGGAAGCCATGGAATGCGTCCCAAAGTCAAATCGACCCCAGTGCATCCCAGTTAGTACTAGATATAGGGAACCAGGGGCCCTTCGGAACCGGTCGGACTGGTTTGAGTCGTTGCCTGGAACCACGACGGGACTCCCAGCGAGCTCTCGTGGGTTGCCTGGATGCCCTGGGGAAGGCTTCATTCCTTGGCCCTAGCAGGTCGATGCAGAGTACTGAGTACCGCAGCACGGATGTCTCAGAAATCTGAGACTGCGCCGAGTCAATCCTTGCCGGCCAATTCTGCCGTTTTCTTCTCACAGTGACAACAAAGAGATTCCAGAAAGCGATTCCGGCGCTGAACCGAGACTCTCCAGCTTTTCTCGGGCTGGAGGGTGTCGCGTCGTCAGCTCGCTCGGCGTCGTCCGCTTCCGTCGTCCCCCCCACTCACCCACCCGCCTCGCTCGCTGGAAGCTGAAACTTCTTCGCACGCTTCCCAGACGGCAACCTGCGCGAGGCATTTTGGTCCCGCGATGCTTCGAAAGGTCAGGTTGCTTGATTGATGTCTTTCGGTTGTTTGCTTCTTTTGCTTTGTTTTGTGATGTTTTGGATTGTTTTGGCTTGTTTTGGTGTGGTGCGAGGGGCATCGCCGTGAGATGCCGTGAGTGGTGGAAACGGTGAGGGGCGTGTTGCCGTTGTTGCACCATGCGTTGTTGCCGTAAGGCTCCATGGTGTGCAACACCGCTGAACCTTCAACAGCAACAAGACGATCAACTGCATCTCAAACTCGTAGATCCCTTGAATTGAAACCTCCTCAGACTTGGTACAGTACCCAATGATATGGAAGAGTCGGAATAGTATATGTATATATATATATATTATATACACCTGTCACATTTTAAACACATTGTTGAACGCCAACACTTCACCACCACTTGGCTGACTCGCACATACTCGCACCACCCAGCTGCAGCGTTTCTTTCAACTCTATGATCAGGTCTTGCAGGTTTTTGAGCCAAGGCAACAAGGCGGTCAGCCAGGCGGAGCTGACACTCCAAGATCCTCGAGCTGACCAACTCAATCCAAGCTACACCGAGTCGCCGTATTGGCTCAATCCGTTGGCGAAGACGCAACGACGGTTCATTTGTGTCACAAATGGTTTGACAAGGGGACCGGAAAGAACAAATACGACTGCCCCTTGTCGCGCAACCAGACCTTCCTCACTACATCATATTCACGACATTTGCCACGAAACTTTCATGAGAGCAGTTTTGCAGCAAACCTAGAAAAAGGTCTTGAGCCGGCCCAGCCACGAGCAGCTGCCATAGCTGCAAAGGTTTCTATTTGTTTGTCGCTTGGCTTTAAACCGCACCAAAAAGGGCAGGCCTCTCGTCCGGATAGAACCCAGGACTGAGTGGCGACATGAATTGAAAAATGCTCACAGC